TCAACTCCCCCACCTTGTGTTTAGCTCATCAGAACGGAGATTTCACAGCCTTCTTCTCTGGGAATCTCCCCACCTGTGACTGGCAAGGCCCTCCCAGGTGCAGCAGTTTTGACTTTGTGCCTTCCCTGGCCCTACTAACATCTGACACTTACCCTCCCCAGCAGAAAACTCAGGGTTTTTTTTAAATGGGGGGAGGCAGGGAGGAGATGGGGAGGTGAAGGGGTTGCCAGGGCGGAATGGTGGAGTGGACCCAATGGAGAGGGAGAGGGATTGGAGAGAGAATAAAACCACGGCACTTTGTCTGAAATAAGTCTCCCCTCAATGGAAATAGCAGCTCCTGGGAGCTCAGGAATGGTCCAGTGGGCAAGAGTGCTGAAAACATGCAGGGAACACAGAGCAGAATGCTCGAAGCCACATTTCAATGAAGTTTACAGTTTTGAAGTGCAGTTTAACAGGTTCTGTGACATGATATATTATGATATATTCTAAGGATAAATGAGGCCTTCAAAACCAAGAGAGACCACATGAGGAGGAACGGTGAGCTGCGTAGTGTGAAATGCTACAGAGGGGAGAGAAAAAAATGAAGGGGAAAAGAAGCCATGGAATGGCTTTGTTTTTAATGAAAGGGGAATTCCCAAGAACATCTCAAAACGTAAGATGTCAGGTTGGAAAGGGAGTTAAATCTACTTCAAAATAGATGATGGGTAAGAGGTTTCTTTTTCAGTTCTTGAAAATTTGCAACTTCATGGCAGATCTTGTCCTGGTAGGATTTAAATGCGCTGAAATTTCCATCCTGAACTCTGCCATCTTCTCCACTTTAGCCACCTCACCTCCCTGTCTCTGTGTGAGAAATTCAGCCGCGTTCAAAGCCTAGTCAGTGTCCAAATTGCTGCAATCCCCAGGTTGCCCTCATTCTCCAAGGACAGGGTTGGCTCTCCAGTAAACACATGCTCATCCCACCACATCTTAGAAAAACAGCCGTGATTTGTAGGTCTGTAGGGAGAATTGGGCACTTACAGTTTCAAAGAGTGACCCACAGGAAGCGGTTAAGGATTACAGAAGTGGACCATTTGTGTTGCTATGACAATGGCCTTTTTACAGACAGGGACAGAGGTTTTAGAAGCTGGTACCAACATCTTGGGCATACAGTATTTGGTGTTCTTACCTTATTCTAAGTAAATTCAGATACGTTGTAGGTTTACTTTTTTTTTTTTAATGTTAGTGCCCCCTTTAGCTCATAGTTGATTCAGGGTCTCAGTTTATTCAACTTTTGTATAAAATGAGCAATGTGCAAGCCATTTCCTGGTAACAGCCATGGTGGCATTTAAGACACCCTGTGGGAGCTCTGTGCAGGCCCAGGGAGCACGAGTGAGCCGGGTGGAGCCACAGCTGGAAGACAATGGGGACTCGGGGCTGCTTCTGTGACAAGCCCCCTTCCTCTTTGGAGAACTGAGCAAACTTAACATTGCAAGTATGTTTCCGTGACACCTTTTGTGTGACACCTCTCTGCTCTAATAAATTGATACTATTTCATTGAAGCACTGAGTAACTGAATGAATGACTCTCAACTGACATATTTGGGAAGATTGGACTGGCTGGCATTATCTCCCTCCAAAAATAGAAGGGGGCTCACAGTGGTTTTATAGTGACAGGCATAACTAGGGTTTTTCTATTTTGTGGACACATTCACTGACTGACACTCAGCAGCCGATCTAATGTCCATGCAGGGAAGGTGGTAGGAAGAGAAGAGGAGGGAGAGATGCTTCCTCCCAGGGCTCTCAGCACCAGGGAACGGGCCCCTTCCTGGGGGCAGGCATTCTAGGCCTTTGCTCTTCAGGTTCCTCTGTGATTTCTCCTCTGGGGAGACCCCATAGGGTGTGGTGAGAGTGCGGTGTGGCCACTGACCCCCGTCCTGAGGCTTAGTCATCCTCAGCCACTGGCCTTGTTAGGCTGTGGCCTGCTATGGGGCCGCCCTTTCTTGCCCCTCCCTTGTCTAGGGAAACACTGGTTTGTAGTGGTGAGGGGAGAAGCTTCCCACACAGCATGAGAACAGCTCTTCTAGGATGCACGTGAACCCTGGCATTGTCTTAAAGACTGTGTTCGTGTCGTAGCAGAATACCCCAAACGGGGTGGCTTAAATGACAAAAATGTATTCTGTCACCATTCTGGAAGGTGGAATCTGAGCTGGAGGTGTCGGCAGGGCTGTGATCCCCCTGAAGGCTTGGGAAGGATCTGTCCTCGGCCCCACTCCAGCACCTGGTGGTTCCGTGGCTCGGGCAGCCTCCCTCCCACATCCCCACGGAGTTCTCCCTGTGTGTGTCTGTCTCCTCCCAAGGCACTCTCCCTGTGTGTGTGTCTGTGTACAAATTCCTTATATGGACACTAGTCATATTGGATCAGGGGCCCACCCTATGCGGTATGACTGCATCTTAACTAGTTACATCTGCAACAATTGTGTCTCCAAATAAGGTCACCTTCTGAGGTACCGGAGGTTGGGATCACAAAATAAGGATTCAGGGGGCACACAGTTCAATCCATAACAAAGATCAAACTACCGTCATATAGACAATCTTGCAATCAAATGTCACAGGTTGCATTATTGTGCAACGCCCCCACCATGTTACTTTCTGTCTTCAGACTAACTAACAGTGCTACCCTCTCAGTCTCTGTGTAATGAGGAAGTCTGAATGTCTGAAGTAATGGATGAGTGAATGGATGGATGGATACATGATGGGTGAATGGATGAATGGACGGATGGATGGATAGATGGATGGTACATGAATGAATGAGTGGATGGGTAGATGGGTGGATGGATGGATGGATGGATGCGTGATGAGTGGATGGTTGGATGTATGGATGGGTAGATGGCTGGATGGATGATGGATAGATGAGTGAATGGATGGATGAATGATTAGATGGATGGATGGATGGATGGATGATGGGTGGATGAATGGATGGATGATGGATGGGTGAATGGATGAATGGATGGATGGATGGATGGATGGATGGATGGGTGATGAGTGGATGCATGGATGGATGGATGATGGATGAGTGAATGGATGGATGGGTGAATAGATGGGTGGATGAATAGATGGATGGATGGGTGATGGATGGATGGATGGCTGATGGGTGGATGGATGAATGATGGATAGAGGAGTGAATGGATGGATGGGTGAATGGATGGATGATGGGTGGATGGATGGATGATAGATGAGTGAATGGATGGATGGATGAATAGACGGATGGGTGATGGATGGATGGATGGATGGGTGATTGGTGGATGGATGGATGATGGATGGATGAGTGAATGGATGGATGGGTGAATGGATGGATGGATGAATAGATGGATGGATGGGTGATGGATGGGTGATGGATGGATGGATGGATGATGGATGGATGAGTGAATGGATGGATGATGGGTGGATGGATGGATGGATGATGGATGAGTGAATGGATGGATGGGTGAATGGATGGATGGATGAATAGACGGATGGATGGGTGATGGATGGATGGATGGATGGGTGAATGCATGGATGGATGGATGGATGGATAGATAGATAGATGGATCAATCGATTTATGGATGGATGGATGGATGGATGGATGGATGGATGGATGGATGGATGGATGAGTGGGTCTATGAAAGAGCAGAGGAAGCCCCCACGAGTGCTCCTGCTACAAAGGTGCATGCGTGCCTCCTGCTGTTCTTGAAACCCTAGGAAGTCTTGCAAAGGAGAAGGGAACAGATGCTTCCACTCACCTCTGTGTGCCAGCACCCTACCAGGCACCTCAGTGTTTGCTTTCATTCTCACTCTATAGGCTAGGACTGGTCATAGCATCCTCCTTTCACTTTCTTCAAAACAACTAGCTATTGATCACCTGCTGACCAACAACTGCTGGCCACCAGGAGGGGAGAGTGAGAAGACTCTAAGGAAGGAAGGTAGGCCAGCCTTAGCCTTTCACAAATGGGACAACTGAGGCACAGGTGATCGGAGCAGCATCCCCGGCTCCAGTATTAGAAAATGATCTTACATGTGGGCCGGGCACGGTGGCTCACGCCTGTAATCCCAGCACTCTGGGAGGCCGAGGCAGACAGATCACTTGAGGTCAGGCATTCGAGACCAGCCTGGCCAACATGGTAAAACCCCATCTCTACTAAAAATACAAAAATCAGCCAGGCGTGGTGGCACATGTGTGTAATCCCAGCTACTTGGGAGGCTGAGGCAGGAGAATGGCTTGCCCCCAGGAGGCGGAAGTTGCAGTGAACCGAGATCGCACCACTGCACTCTAGTCTCAAAAAAAAAAAAAAAAGGAAAGAAGAAAAGGAAATTATCTTACATGTACATGGGTCAAGAATGACATGGCTGGCCTCTGCTGCCCATCTCCTTGTAGAGAAGCATTAATTAAAATGGATTCAATGCAATTTTCTCAGCTTTAGTTTTCTCATCTGTAGAAAAGGGGTAATGATACCTACTTCATTGGGATCATTGTGGGATTAGATGCAATTATGTAACTGAAGGCAGTTGGCACAGACAGGCACCAGATAAGCACCTAGTCGACCTACTCTCCCTTTCCCTTCTTTTGTGTAAATCCTCACGTCCCCTCCTCTCTTCAGCCTCTCCTGTCTCTATCACGGAATACCACGTTTAGAGCTGTCAGTGAAATGGCATGTGTCTGAAGGTGAGGATTTCCTATTTGAGATAAAAGTCTGCAGTTTCCACAAGTTAATACAGCAAACAGACCAAGCATCTTTTTTTTTTTTCTTGCTGGGTGGACTCAGGTAAAATTGAGCTGCTAAGTACCCAGGATTTATGGAATTTGTTGCTAATATTAAAGAGATTTACATGTCCGTTATACTCCTGCAGGTTTAATCTGATCACTACAAAATGCTCAGAATACATTGCTATTTCAAGGACAGCTAGATTATTTGGGTGAAAGCTGGATCTTTGTACGTAGATACTCTGGACTTTGGATGCCAATCTACTTCATTGGTTCTTTGCAGTTCCTTCAGCCGCCCCTGAGAACGTGTCAGCTGAGGCTGTCAGCTCGACACAGATTTTACTGACATGGGCTTCCGTGCCGGAACAGGACCAGAATGGGCTCATACTGGGCTACAAGGTGCGTGATGGGATGACCTCCCTTTGCTTAAAGAATGGGCTGGGGAAATGCGACCACGTGCCATTCCCCCAAAGCAGCAAGCTTCCTCTTCTTCAGCAGATCTGTAGTGCCGGCCAGTTTGTGACTTTTATTAGGACATCCAGTTGTCTTATCTAAGCCTCATTGCAGTCTGGGAATTAGGTGTCAGTATAACCACACCACAAACGCCAAAACAGGGTGCCAGAAGAAAAGCGCAGCCGGAGTGGACCTGACCTCGGGGCCTGCGCCTGGCTCTGCCCTCGCTAGCCTCGGTGCCGTGGGCCAGTTACTGAAATCCGTGCCTGTGTCTCCCCGCTTGTAAAACGGGAATAATGATGGTAGCTTTGTCCTGGAGTTAGTGTGAGAATTCAGTGGGTCTTTTACACAGCACGCCTTGCTGGTGTGAAGGGCTGGGCGAGGTGGATCGCTGTGTGTGTGTTTCTATGTGTGTCGTCACGGTCCTAGCAATGGCATCCACTGGAAGGGTTGAATCTGTCCCAGCTTCTTGGGGGAGCCATTTCTGGGTTCCACCTTCCATACATCCACCCCAACCCTTTAAAACCCGTTCTGTTCCTCATTCCATCACTCAGGGGCTACAGGCTCTGTCTCCCCGTCTGCTTCTTGGCTCAGCAATGCCAAGCATCAGAATGAGCTTTTCTGGACCTGGCCAGCAAGGCCATGCTTGTCTCAGTGCTGCTGCCTGGGTTTTGAGCGTACCTCCTCCACCTTTCCATACTTCACATCCCTATTCTTTGTTTCCCCCACCTGCTCTCCTGTGTCTTCCCCCTTCCCCGGGCGTTCTAAGCGCGCCCTGCTGGCTCCGTGACACATAGCAGTCCCGTTGAGGGGGTTCAGTGACCAAAACTCCACACCGCATTCCTGGGGCCCAGAGAAACGTGCTTGCTGTGCTATTTTCAAACGGCTCCCTAGTGATGCTGTCCTTTATGGCCTTCCATGTCCCTGATCTCAGGGAGCAGTTCCGAGAGGGTGGGCGTTGAGTGAAGACTTAGCAGGAGGCCCTGGAGCACAGCAGCTTGGGGTGGGATGCCCTGGAGCAGAGCAGCTTGGGGTGGGATGCCCTGGAGCAGAGCAGCTT